AGAACGAGAGTAGTCGCTTATTCGGCAGAGCCTCTTCACCCTTTTTGCTTGCTTTAAGACGCACACACTCTCCTCCCTTCTTCTTAATAAACATACATTTGAATACGACTCTTAACTAAATTCCAAAAGCTTACGCTCTTATGGTCATTATATATAAGATAGATTTCAGACAAAACCCCCGCTTCCTTAGCAACGTGGTATTGCAAAGGTTGATCGGCTTATGCAGAACCAGCTTGTTCGCAGAGGTCTAGCAGATCCAATGTCTGCAACAAACATCATACAGTTAACACATAATCAGTCTTAATTAAGTTCTACATGCAAAGGTTCTCTACCTAAATGCAAACTCTAAATCTGTGGGTATGCTTCTACATGAACTTAGAGGACTTACTTCCAAGTTACAACTTTGAACTTAGCTTATAGGTGTAGTTTTTCACATGTTGAAACACAATATAGACTTTTTGGTTTTGACGATGTTTAAGATCGTTATTCAAACTGGACATGGTTTTTAGATCTCTTTACTATATGATGTACTTTTATGAAACCATTCAAACATTTTATATTCATTATTTTTCTTGTTTCTGACATATACCAGAACGTATATGGGCACTCACCTCAGGTACAGAGAGCTCAAGACGGAATTTTGGACCATCATAGTGGTGAAGAACAGGCCTGAAGGAATCCTCTTCCAAGGCTTTGCAGATTTTCCTAACTCTGATCCTTACCTGTTGCGATTCAAAAGAAAGACGTCGAATTAGTAAAAAATATCAAAACGAAGAATAAAGGATAATATTAGTGGGATCCTAAATTTCACCTGAGCCGGAAATCTTGACTCTCCTTTGCACTTTTTGTCTTCCCAAGCAGTTGCATCAATATTTGTACCTCCAAAAGTTGTTGCCTAAACCCGGAATCATGTCATGGGATAATTTGAACATCACATTTTCAGTAAATGATAGCATCAGAACCACTGCTATAATATGAGATAACAGAAGAAGAAGCACGAGAACACACCTCAAAGATACCATGGAGCTGGTGAGTGGTGTAGTTGTAAAGAAACAGAGGCAATCCAGGTGTTATTGCTCGAACAGAGTCTCTGTATCTTGGAGGTAAACCTGACAAATGACACAAGATTTAGATGAAATGAATGACGGAAGTAGATTTAAAAGCGAAGCAAAAACTATTTACTTGCAGTCTGAATATCAGTAAAACAGTGAGAACGCATATCGGAAAAATTACCAAAGAGGTGGCGTTTCAAGTCTTCCTGCATGGTATCATTGTTGCAAACAAAGATGTAGCCACCAAGAACTTCGTTCCTTGGAAGCGTCTCCGATGCAGGCAAGGTTTTAAACCTCTTGTCAACAGCCAAATTCATATTTGCATTATCA